TTTTCCGCTACTTGTTGGACAACACAAAGTTCTTGGGATGTGATAGCACTGGCATGGTTACGTTAGTGGATGGGATGCAGGCCTCTGAGTATCCAAATGCAAACCCTCAAGCGCTGTTTATCCTAAGCCAAATTTAATCTGGAGAGTTGGTTTGCACTTGCTTTTTTTATTCATTTAATAGAAAAAGAAAATGATGACGTCACAGAAATGAAATTTGTAAATTTTTGGAGTTGGTTTGCATACTTTCAACGATACAATAGACGCCCGGTCTCAAATAAACACCCCCAGTCTAAGTAACGCACCCCCTTATGCCTTTAGGCCCCCTAGCTTCTTAGGCCTCCTAGGTCCCTCTGTAAGAAACGCCCCTGTCTAAAAGAATGACAGTTACTCCAAAATGATAGGAATAGATCATTTTACAGTTATAGGTGGAAACGAGGCTGGAGTTGACCTTGTTTGTGATACAACACCTTCCTGCCATATTGTGTAAATAATGTAACTCTATTTTTTCAGCATAATTTCTAACCTGAGATCGGGCCCAATTTTAACGGCTCTCACACATTCTGTCTAACGGCTCACAAGTTTGGCCTTACAGAGGCCAGATTTTGGCCGCAACGCTGATTGGCTGTTAGAGCAATGCCACAAGATCTGATTGGCTGTTGGAATCAACGAAAGTTTAAAGCGCTTATTCCTCGCGTGGTTGATTTCATGAATGATCGGCCGTCGGCGGAGAGAAGGATCGATTTTGCTGTCTTTTTTTAAATTTTTTTATGGTCTTATAGTAGGAAAATATACCTTAATATGTGCTATGGAAATTCAGAAAATTCGGATGCTTGCTCATGTCTTCTCAGGAGTTGCTTTATTTACGGAACTGTAAATGTAAGAATGTGAGTGTATCGCAGACCGCGAACAATGTGCCTTTTGATTTACCAACAAACGAGTGCAAATCAAAACACTGTCCATCTTAAAAATGGTTTGATTTGAAAGTTTAGCCGTGAATAAATGCCTTCTCTGATCGGGGTGCGCAAGCGGAGGCTCACTGCGAAAGAAACCTCAATCGCCACTGTGACGTATTAGACGAAAAAATATCGCATCGCTGTTCAAGCCGAATTTTTGTAGGCATTATGATAAAAGCTAGTGGCGCTAGTCTTGAGGTAACTGACTTGTTTTTTGCCATCGATTTTTGTAAAAAATAAACCAGGAAAGCTGGTATCCTCGCTCGTTGGCTGTTTGCTGTTTGTTAATTTCAATTAATAAATTTAGCGAGCTTTTCAGACCTGCAGTAAAACAACAACACAACTAAACAGCTGACTAAAGAGAACTACAAACTATGTGTGTTTGTAATATTGTTTTTCGTTTTGTTTATAGGTGAGTTGAGCATGCATTTTTAGTAATGTCGTTTCGACTTTCCAAACTGGCAGAAAATATTTACCTGGATTTATAAAATAATACATAGTTTTAGACGTTTGTTTCTCTAGTTAATATCATAGTTGACGAATTACTCCTTAATTTTGGCGCGAAATTTCAGCGATAATTTGTAATTTTACATGTGGAATTACAAAATTGCCATGGCAACCTTCCGTACGTCTCAGTGTCAAGATGGCGACGAAGTTTTAAAATGTCATGAATTAAGATGCCAGGGCATATAAAGACGCTTTAGAAAACCTGAACACACCAAAGAGTAGATCAAGACGGATTCTAACAGGTATTTTGTCGAAAAATTCCAAACTTGAGTCAAATTTGAGTTCTAAACGTTCGAGAGAGTGGAGTTCTCGATCGATACGATCCAGGATAAACATGTCAAAAATCCAAGATTGCTAACGTAATTCGTCACCCATGATATTAATAGGTAATCAAATGGTATACTCGTGAATTTAGGGAATAATTTCACTTGCGTTTTGTCCAAATCCTAATAAAAGGCTCGGGAAATTATAAGGATTTGGACAAAACGCGCGTGAAATTATTCCCTATTTTCACTCGTCACCATTTGATTACACATACAAATTTGCACATTGCAAATGTACTCACGGGACAAAATTAAATGCACTTTGAGAACTCGTTTGGTTTGTTCTGAGATATTTATATATCCTTTGAAAAATAAAGTTCACGAATTATTTCTCCAAGATTTTTAAAGATTTATGTACTGCAAATAGGGGAAAATTGCCAAGGAAAATATAAAGGCAAAGGAAAAACAGAAATTTCAGTATTTTAAATTCCAGTGCGCCTAGCCAAAATTAAAACTTGAACATCGTGTGGCCGTCTTTTCGAAAACTCTTTGCTTTCTACGCCAACAGAAATAACCTTCGACATCTCCTCTAATCTCGCAAGAAGTTAAATGTGATTGTGCTGACTGTTTTATTTTTAGTAGCTAAAAGCTATTCTTTATGTCAGCGAGTGTGCAGTTTTCCCACGTACGAAAAATTTGCATACTAAAAAAACCAAGCAACGGAAGTAATTTTGATGTGAAGCATATATGAAATAATTCATTTTTGAATTGCGGTTGTAGATGAAAGTGAAGAATGATCATCGCAGTAAATGTTCCAATTTAAGCAATTGTAAAGAAGAGGCCTGAAAAAAAAAAAAAAAAGAAAAAAGAAATCAGGGCTTCAACGGGAATCGAATCCCGTTGAAACCCCGATTTTTTTTATTTTTCCATTTATTTTATTCTATTTTCATTTTTTATTTATTTTATTAATTAAGTTATTTTTTTTTTCAGGCTTCTTCTTTCCAATTGCTTGAATTGGAAAATTTACTGCGATCATCATTTTTCACTTTCGGAAGTAATTTTGGTTGGCTGATTCAAAAAAGTGGGCGCAGACGTTTCGCAGAAGAAGGTTTGTATCAGGCTCTCTTTTCGTTTCGCCTTGCTCGCCAGAATGCTATTTACAAAGCGAAACGAAAACTGAGCCTAATCTCAGGTTACATAATTTCCATAAGAAAAGGAAACAAGGTCAACCTCAGCAATGCTTGCCCTCCGAAAGTGATATGAGGATTCTCGTCCGCAAATTAAAAAAAGAGGCATGACGCGATTCAAAAGGGGAAAAAATATCCGTTGAGTAATAGCAATAACAATAACAATAAGCTTTATTTGCATGACTGTAACAAAGTATTACAGTATTGCAAAAGCTACTTGAAATTACTCATTGATTCCTTGTAAACTAAATATTCAAAATAATTTGAAACTTATTAAGAGCGAATGCACAGAAAAATCGAGCAAAATCGGCAAATCGTGGCCACAGCTCAAAAACTAACTTACCCTCATTTTCAGTCTGTAATAAAGTTTTAATGAGTTTATAACACTGCTGAGGTTTAAATTTCAAAATGCGCCCGAGTTTGGGAATTATTTGAGATTTTCAATTTCAACTGTCAGCGGGCCTAAAATTAGCCGCCGAATTCGGGAAAATAGCCCAGTGACAGAATTGAGCTGACTTTCATAAACGAGCGAATATATTGGCAATCTTCCACTTAAATCTCAAAAAGCAAATATCTAACAATTTCTGAACGGCACATTTTTTAGATTTAGAGTATAAAGTATCGACGAACCAGCAGAATTTTGAAACGTAATTTGCATAATGGTTATAAATACAACAATTTACCGCTAAAACCAAAATCGAATTTTCTGTATGGGGGAATTCTCCAAATCACCCCAAATCCCGTCTACTACCTAATGAGATATGGTACTTCAACATTATCTGAAAGTTAGTCTGGTGTTCTTGCGAACGCTTGTAAAATAGACTGATTATTTTGAGGTTATTTCGCCCCAAACAACCGCTAATTGACCCCAGGGTCAATTGACACGTGCACATCACCTTAGTTTTACGCGTCGATTTGAGCTCGTTAAAAGGGAGAAACTAAAAAGATTCTTTTA